GCAATGTGTTTTTGGCTTCCAATGGAAATGCAGAGTGAGATATTTCTGCATATTGCTTATTCAGGCTAAAGCAGATCAGATGCCGTTTCACTCCTCTCTTTCCTTTGGCTTCAAATTCCCTAAAAGTCCATGCTGCTGCAATGTACACTCATGACAGATCCTCTGCATTTTTTTAAGGTTCTGTAAAAARCCACAGGCTTTGATTTTTATCTTCCCCACCCATAGCAGAATARGGGAATAGCTGTATGATTTTTGGTGTACCCATAAGTACCTTTGCATTACTAGATTGCTGTAAGAAGGTTTTCTTGTAGCACAGGGTGGAAGGCACGAAGGSCACTAGCCAGATCCTCAGCCAGTGTGAATGTAGAGCTGAGAATCCAGCCACATGTCAAATTCAACAAAGGCATTTTAGAACTACCTGTTCGTTAATGGCATCTGACCTACTTAGAGCAGCTCTAAAGACTCAGACTTTCCCTTCCTGAAAATAGAAGGTGGCATGGGGAAGAAAACCAGTCGCTGTGGACAAACTAATGGGCATCATTGTTTGCAGTCATCCAACAATTAAATTTGGGTGGTTCAGTACATTCCTAATTAAGTACAATTAACATTTGTTCTTTACTTGTTAATTTTACATACCTCACTGATGTTCCAAATCTGGTTTCCCCTGATCAACTATCCAAGCACATCCTAATGATTCTGCCTTTCAATCCCTTATTAATACACTGACATAAACAATGCAGAAATGCAATTAGACTGCTATGCACACATGGCCTGCCTCCTCTTKCACTGAAGCAGCCGGGAGTCTGGCMATGCACTGTCATTGTGATAGTTTCAGTCTTTCTGTATCTCTGCAGAAGTTTCAAGGAAAGTTTTTCCCCCCAGACACTTCACGTATTCAGCCCTTCATCTCCAATCCCACCTTTAGGTGGTTTTACCAACTAGAAGAGCTCCTATCTTGACACTGCAGGCAGTAGGGCAGAGAACCTTGTAGCAGTTTTCCCAAAGACTTCATTTTTGTAAGCAACTCCATAATACTGTTACATTTCTCTCTCCCTCAAGCAAACACACACAGAGGAAAAAAAAAACAAACCAAAACCAAACAAACAAACAAACAAAAAAACAAAACCAAAAAAACCCAAAAACCAAAAAAAGCACAGACTGATATGATGGCAGGGCTTTAAAATAACAATATAGCATTCAGTTTGAGGCTAAACAGAACTGATAGYTCAAGGAGGGAGGCAGCAAGGTGATGGGAGAGTTGGAAGAACACCTGAATTTCAGTGCTTTTCTGTTTGCAGTTTCTGAAGGGCCGATCAGTCAAAGCTTTGGCAGAGGTTGAAGGTCTCTCTTGAACTGCCCACACAGAAATGTCCAGGGAGAGAAACTGGCTCCAAACAGCACAGCACAACTGCTGATCAAACCAGTGCTTCCAGTGAGCAAGAGCGGCATGTCTTTCTTGGCAATCTCTGCCAGGCCAGCTTAAGATAAACAAAAATCTGCTGAAGTGATTCAGGTCAAGAACCATTARCATCAAGCACGTTCCTGGCATGTAGAGGCTTGCTCTGCAGCCTCAGAATGGATCTGTTTCACGTGGCTCCCAGTGTGTCTGGCTCTGGAGACTCTCAGCAAGCTCTGCTGCTGTCTGCCCACATACACCTCTGCTGACAACCCAGCCTGAGACCAAACCAGGCCAGAAGAAACAGCTCCTGAGTGGTAGAAAAGAGGCCAAGGAGGTTGCTGGGCCCTTCARGACAAGTGCCACACTGGGCTGTCCTCTTCGATATCCACTGAACACCTGGGTCTGCCCAGCCTGGGAATGTGTCTGCTGCAGAGCAGCAGCATATAYTGCAATAACAGTGCCCTGGAAAAGCAGCGTCTCAATCATTTAGGAAAGACTAGTATTTCTTTTTCTAATGACCTCTAATTTTATTTTTCATTATGTCTTCCACTGTCTTTTGGTTTTCATCTCTAAATTTAATAGCACTCCATAAGCTTTAAAAAAAAACCCCAGAACGTTGCTTCTTGCCCCAGACAGCTTTCCTTGACTCTTCTATGTTTCCTTGCTGTGGTGAACATCAGAAGAGAATCTTTCCACCTACCTATGTAATTATCCAGCTAGCTAACTGAAGGTTGATTAATGGCAAGGGTTGTTTTAAGCAAARTAATTGTAACAGAAAATAAAGAACAGGGAATTTTTAATGATGTTGGTCTTTCCACATTTCAAAAATTCACATTTGTTGAGCAATTCTACCACTTTTTTTTATTATTTTTTAATTTGCTATGAGGAAACTATGGMAATTATTTTATTTGCTCAGTCTCCTGTTACTGGCTTGAGTGAAGTAGAGAGAAGTTATGCAAATTTATTGTATCAATCACAAAGCATTAAACTATACGTGCATTTAAAAGCAATGGAATTCATTGAGGTTATTTTAGATTTTTGTGACTGAAATACAGTCTGGAAAATAAATTGAAAGAAGTATCCACAAAACCCAATGGCTGCTAGCCATAGGYAACTGTACTTCAAATGTAAAAACATCTAACTTAGGCACTTGATGTTATTCCCTGGCTTGCAGTGACAGTACTCTAATGGTGTGAGGTTCAACACATATATAAATAATGGAGAAAAGAGATCTTGGAGCCAAGAGTGCACTGTAAGGTCCTCCCAGCAACAGCATCTTTTCACTCTGAGTGCATGCTCTGTCCTGTGACATGGGACTCAGACATTTCCTGAGAATGCCTGCTATTGTTACAGCACACTGTGAAGGATAACCTGGGGGGGGTTTATTGAGTAAAAGTTCAAGGTACATCTGTGTACAGAAAGAAGCACTTCTTCACCACAAATAGAGMAACATTTTAGTATTGGAAACCTAAAATGGGGCAGATAAATTAAAAAAAAAATGCTGTAATGGCAGAACAAGATATGTTCTTCATCTGCTGAACAAGATACATGCACCTKAAATCTGTTGTTTAGGAAAACCTCCCCTCACACAAAGAAGGAAGTAAAATGAAATAGATGGGATTAAAGGGTTTTCCAGTTCTTCAGGGAGAACACCTGAACCTGCATAGACATCAGCCTGAGCAAGGTATGCCAGCTGCTGAGTACTCCACTCTGCTCCCTTCCTGGAGCAGGAGACAAAATGTAATTACTCAGGTATTTCTGCCTTTCTGCAATAATTAATTGTTATATTATTCAGAGGGAATCATTCCACTCCTTTTAGGCASAGCATTAAAAATGGTGTCCTCCAGATTACTTTTTCAGTGAGTACTTAAAGGAGAAGGAAGGGGAGAGGATTAAAGGGAATCATCGCGGAACAATTATGAAGGTAATTTGGAAGCCAGGCTGGAAACAACCTTGTAACAGAGCCAATAGCTGACTCAAATTGTTACATTTCTCCTTTGATCACCTGCTCGAACACACTCCTAATTAGCATTTAATGGAGTCTACAGTTTAGCACATTACTGAGCACCTGCATGCAGATGTCAATTCATCTTTCTGATGACACTCTGCCGCACTTGGCTAACAGGAGGAAATATCTGACAACTGATGAGCACTGCCTTGACTCCCAAGGAAGAACCAACTGTTTCCTCAGCACTGCAGTGGATTTCAGTCCAAAGTACTCAGGATTGTATAAACTCTTGAAAGGAACTGAAATTTTCATATATGTTTTTCTCAAGGTTTCTCTAGTTAAAAGATCTTGTGGTTTCTCTTCTCTTACATCTATTAGCAAAAACAWATTTAGCAACTTGTCCTTCAAAGGTAACGTACCAAACAGAGGAAATGCAGCCCCTCACCTGTCCTTGAAATAGAGAATTTCAGGTAATACCTTTTCCAGCAATAGGAGAGATTGCTAGTGGCACCTCTTGGTGAAAGGGCACAGAAAGACAGTCATAAGCATAATCCCAAAGACATAGTGGGAGAAATAATGTGCGCTTCCAGGAAGTGCTGACCACTCCCTCACTGATATCAAAGCACTTGCAAGCACCCTTAGTTTGAGATGTTTAGTATTGAGACCCTTAGTGTTGAGATGTCTTGTTTAGTTGAATTAYGTGTCTCGTACCGTGCAGTTAAGCTTGTGTTTAAATATTTGCTTGGATTGGCATTAAGTCCCAATTCTAAGAAAGCATTTAAAAAGTGAAATCCTATAGAATGTGATTATTCTTCAACYGATACTGAGAAAATTTTGTTCCTTAAACTTCTGTTAGGTTTTTAAGTATCTTCATTGGGCTGTGATCCAAATACCTTGCCTGTTTGAGCCCTCCAACAGCAATTTAGTGATAAAGCCATTGTGGAGGATGAGTGTTAATCATTACATTTGTGTCAGATTTCATGATGCAGGAAGAGCTTTGGATAAGTGAGTCAACACAAACTCATAATTATAAGACATAGGGTTCAAAGTAAAACTAAAATGTTAGAGAGGGTTAGTTAAGCACCACATCAGCATCTAGTAAGCTTGCATGGTGCCATTTATACTTCACCCTGCTTAAATACCATCTAGAGAATGCTGGRCACATTTTGCTTGCTGAACTGAATCTATTACTAAACATATCACAGGACAGRTCTGACCACTATAATGGATAAGGTTTTCAAGATGTTTTCTGTTAATTCCAAAAGAAGCCACTAATGGGAGCCAGTGTGCACGAAGAAATGCATGGAGGAAAACTTCTCCATGTGAAAGYGTGTGAACTTTGCAAGACATTGTCTGCAAGACTTCTCTCATGAAAACGAAAAAGCAATTATTGACAAATATTACATGCATGAATAGTAGTAAACTGTAAATAAACCCAAATAGCAATACCAAATAACAACTCTGCCCTCCATTTTCAAATAACAACGGAGAAAAAATTGCATAGTGARTACATATCCACTGAAGAAAAATAAGTAGACAAACTTTATGAGCTAAGCAATGTTTACAGCAAGCTTTATGCTTGCAATAATAAAAAACAATTAAGTGTAATAGTAACAGAAGACATGCTAAATAAAAGTAAAGAAGTTGTCTTACCTTGTTTTTGAATGGTTTTGTTTACAGGGATACCACAACCATGTAATTTTAGGTGGAGGAATACCATATACAGTACATGTCAGCACTTGTTTGCTGCCTAATGGATGCAGATTGGGATCTGGGAACGATGATACAGCCTTTTCGTATATCTGGGGTTTCACTGGAAAGGGTGAAAATTGGAAAGCAGTTAAAACTAGCTTATTTCCAATGTGTTCCATGATTACAAAAATACTACATTCCTGCCGTATGAGTAACAAGAAAAATCCCCAGGAGAACAAAGAAAACCAGYGGTCCTAAGTCAAGTCAGACAAGTGGTTAGTAACACACATTTAAATCATCAGAAACAAGTATGTGGCTGTGGAAGACAGAACCACTTCTAATGAAAACCAGCATCCATCTTCTGATTCAAAGATGGGTCTCTCACTCTACATGTGAGGCCTGGATCTGGGTCCATGAAGTCAGTAAGAAAACCCACAGCAACCTGATGTGTGCAAGGTCGGTGACAATCCACCTCAAAGAAAACTGAGTGTTTATATGTTCAGGAGAAGCATGGGGAACATGCTGCAAACTTACCATTTACCGTAAGAGTGACTGTAAGATTCTTTGACAAGTTCCACTGTGGAATTCTCAATATTATGGTGTAGTTTCCAGCATCCTCCTCAGCAACGTCCTTGATGACTAAGGAATAGTCTTTGATGATGTACCGGGCACATTTTTCAGCAGCAGGTAGCCCATCTTTTAACCTGTTTAATGGAATTCCAGAAGTCAAAATTCTGAAAAAGATTTTTGCTTAAACCTATGTTACTTCATTCCACAACATTTCTTAGTCATTGGGAAAGGACTGAATCTACAGTCTGAGATTCTGTTTACCAGACACTTGTCGTTTCCCTTCAAATAAGATTGCTAATATTTGTAAAMCACTTCAGAGAATACTATTCTATATATTAAAATTAATAAGAATCTGACAGGGCTCTGTGTTATTTGAGAGTTGCTGAAAATTGTAACTCTGTCTCTGAAGATCCCAGTTGTCCATGGCTGTGGGTGCCATTCAGTCTGAAAAACAACMATTTTGACTGAGGGTCGATCACAGAAATAAAGGTTGCATCATCTTGCACTGGCCATTTCTCTGTGACCTCAGAATACATCCTGGGACAAAGTATTACAGTAGCCTAAGCACAGCTGTGATTTTAGGAAGAGGAAGAATAAGTAGATTAGATAAGCACTTAAGAATCAGATCTCCTTCTATCAACTGAATGTTTTTTAAGATAACAGAAAATCAGCATAGAAAGCACTAACTGTTGCTCACACACAGATTCCTAAAGCAAAACATTTTTCTTCRAAGTCTAAAATAGAGTGTAAAGCATATTTTAACAAGTTGGAAGAAGGTTAAGATGATGTTAGTAGAAGGGTGCATCTGAGATTCATTATGATGATGGACTTGACCTCAATGATTCACGGATTTTGCTGTACTTATAAGTACTTTCGAGTAAGTACTTACAGAAACTTACTCTCACTAATACTAAAATTTGGTCAAAGGAGTAACGGATTTAGGCATTTCACTGAATCTGTGTTTTACAGAACCACAGAGCAGCTGCAGCTGAAAGAGCCTTTGGAGATCATCCAGTCTAATGYCCTATACAAAGCAAGGTCAGAAGGTTGCCCAAGACCATTTCAGTATAGTTTTGAGTATCTCCAAGGTTGGAGAYTCYACTACCACTCTGGACTACTTGTTCCATTGTTTGACCAACCTCAATTATAAACTATAAAATTTTAAAAGCTTGTTATAATGTATTGAGGTTTTTTTAGTTCAGGAGTTTTGGACCTATGTGTGTAGTCAATAAGCCCAAAGAGTGGAGAAACAGAAAATGACTGTCATCAGTGCCACACTCACCCCGTAGTTTTCCATGTGGTGCCATAAACATAAGGGGTTTGTAAAATGGAATAACACTTTTGGACCAAAAGTAATTCCTGGCTGTAACATGAACTCCCACTGTTCATCTATATATGGTTCGTTTTCTTAATCACTCTTGTCATAGATCCTTTGTTAATGTGCAATGAATTGAGCCGGTGCTACTGGTGTTTAAAATGGTTCAAACAAAAAAAAACCCCTCAAGATCATGAATAGATAATATTGTTACACATGAAAGTGGCTTGGGTTAGTACAAAAAACTGTTCAAAAGATTTCTTAKCACAATATGCATGAGACAAAATGAATGATCCAGAGAATGCTCTGCTGAAGTAGATCTTTAATCTGCAGATCACTGCAAAATACCAACATTAATTTTTTTTTTTTTTTTGGTCTAACAGTCCATGTCTCTGTGACTCAAGACAATAACTTATTTTAATGAAAACCTTCTTTCCTTTCTCTTACTGTCTGAAAAGCAAGTTCAAGTCTCATACCTAGGTCTGAATGAAGCTGGGTGCAATACTTCAGTCAAGACTGAAGTATTTAGTCAAGACTAAGTCAAGACTCCACAGTCAAGACTGGTGGAGACATTTAGCTGTAGAGCATCCATTGAWTTCAAAAGGAGTCATATCTAACCTAATTGAGGTTCTCAGCTTTAAACTTTCCATATTGCAAAATGGACATAATATCCTCATAAAATGTTAGAACCCCAGGCAACTCTGAAACTTAAAAAAACCCTCCCCAACTGTATTATAAAAAGAGGTTCAGGATGCATATGTGGAAGTAAATGTTGTCCTACCATATAACCTCTGGAGAGGGAAATGCCTTCACTTTCATTGATAAACGATASGATTTTCTTCCAGCTACAGCCTCCAGCGCAGTTTTTCTTCGATGTTTCAAATTAATGAACATTTTATCTTAAACAAAACAAAAAAGTGCTTTGTTTTACTGATTTCCATCCTGCAGAAAGATAGCTCTACTAAAAAAATGTGAATGTAAATAAAAATTTGCTTTAATAATTTTGATGCTCCCACATGTCAACAGCAAGAATAGAGCCTAACCTCCTAGAAATCCATAAAATAGAAAAGAATACCACAAATATACAAGAAACTGAGATGCAGTTCCCAGGGCATGAATCTACTTGGAGAAGAAACACTGTAGCCAAATTCACATTGTGCTCCAGCCAGAAAAAAAGGCACAAAAGATAAAGTGGTCTCTGGTATGTGGGAGGCTGAACTGTGGATGATCAGATGACCTTTTCACTCCTACAGGCCAAGAATCAATGAATGTTCCAAAAGAAAATATTCTGCCAGAGMGGATTTAAGAGACTTTCAGAGAAATAGCAAAGGAAAAGGCAGAAACTTTCTGTATCATTGGTAAACAACTGTTTCATCAAACAAACAAATCTTTGTCACTTCACTGGAATAATCTCAACCTGCTAGAATTCGTTCTTTTCCAGTTGTTCTGGCCCATATCTCCAGCTCTCTGGCAAGYTGATGGCTTTTACCAGAGGCAATAAAACACGAAATTCATACAATACATTGGAAAACATCTCTTTTCCTGCTAACTTGTGCAAAATAAAACATTCAAAGTATGAAAAACGTTTTAGTGTCCTTTTGATAGTACCTATGGTGCAGTATAAGGATGGTGGATATCTATTAAACAAGTGCAATATTTAATCACACCACAGACATTGAAAATAATATGCACAAGACAARTAATTACACAGGTCAAGTTATTAAGATACAGCTCTGATTCTGCAAACCTTTATTCACAGGCTCTTTTTAATATGGGTATCGTGTAGATGGGGCTGCTTATGTGAATACAGGCTGACTGCAGCAGTTCCAGCTTCTCTGACTTTATTTTTAATCTAAAGTCCAGTTTCTGACAGGCTTAGTTTATCCATTTAAGRTATGGGAAGTGGGTATCATGATTCATCCTAGGCTCCCAGTGACTTATTCCAGAGCTCAAATAGAGAAAATGGGCTGAAATACTCTCTAAGAATACCAACAYGGGGTGCTTAGTCCACACTTCAAGATAAGAGAAAAAAGATACACCACTGAAARTATGTAACAAGTCAATATTCTGACCATGAGCCATCCTTTGTAGAGGACACCCTCTGGCTGCTTGCTCTTGAAAAGCAATGGTGCTCCAAAGATCCTGGATAGTTCTAATTGTAACAGGATGTCCCAAAGAAGGTAGCTTCCCAGAGTCCCAAGGCAAAAAAGTCGTAATTCACATACATTTGAAATAATACCAGAAATTTCCAGATTTCAGAGAAGGCCCAGGGAGCCCATAGGGAACTTGATTAAGGGTCATGCTGTAAAACCATATTAAGGATTTGCAGCATCTCCTGTTTGTTTCATTTTTTGAACGGTCTAAGAACTACCTGCTTCATGTAGAGCCAGGGTATTTATTTCTTCTTCATTTATTCATAGGAAGCAATGCATAAGTACCACAGAAGAGGAAGTGGAATTCCTCTATTCAAATTCAGCTAGTACTACCTGCTTTTTTTGCCCAAACTATACTTTTCCTGATTGCATCTGCTGGAACTGACTGAAGATAGTGACATCACAGTATTTAGCAGTCGAAAGGGATCAAATTGAACATTAGCATGCTTATTGCCAGCAGTTCAAAACAGTCACTCAGTCTGGAAGAAATGACACCTGTTTTCCCTCCTGGAGTCTCTCCCTTCCTCATTTCCCTTTTTCTGCCCTTGCTGAAAGTGCTAGGGCAGAAATTCACTCCCACTTTGTGTCATGATGTAAAAGTCTCACGTGACTGACCCTGGCATGTGAGCTTTGAATGTTCTACAAATCTTCACCACTTCTTACCATAAACAATGACTGTTGTGTTCACGGCCTTGATCGATGGCCCGCTCTTCACGTGGCAGGTGTACTGGCCTTTGTCAATGTCTCGCACTCTGTCGACCACRAGGATGCTGTAAAAAACGTTGGCCTCTGCATTCTTCTGGTCAATGCGTTGCATCACAGAACCCCTTTTCCTTGTCTAAAAAAGCAAAAGAAATGAACAAGAAAGAGCTTAGTCAAACCAATTTTCATTAGTATTAAGATTTTTATTTTACTGTACTGCCACCATAACTTAATAAAAGAGTCCCAGCCTTGGTACAGCACAGAAAAGTGAAAGATGTTTAACATTTCCAGAGGGTCAACAATGAAAAATATAAGCAACATTACAGGACAATTTATAGCTGTCTTCACCCAAGTTGTCATAGCACCCAAACTAATACTATCCAGGGGAAAATCCTCCATTTTGTCCAGCCTGTTAATTCAACTTGCCCAGCTCCCCACTGCCATTGTCCAGCACTGCCCCTAAAAATCCTTGAAGCCGTGATATGCAGAGCAGCACATACTTTGGTGCCCGGATTCAGTGCCATAGGAAGCAGACACATAGAAGAAAAGGACATTAACACAAGGAGGGGAGAATTCTGGAAACGCTACAGACGGAAAAGGGACTAGATTTGGCAAGGGAATTGCAGGGTGGAACTGAAGATAATGCGACTCTGAGGAGTTATTTCCTGCAACTCCCCCTCAGCATTTGGCCTCAAAGTTTATTTAACCCAGGACATTGTTGATGTCTTATAAACACTGAGCACCCTTCAGTTACCATACAAACAAAAACAAAACATAATTTCACAAGTGTGGTGCCTAGATAGGGCTTGGTAGAGCAGCAATAAGCAATATATTTGGAGCACTTCTTGTTGCTAAGTTGTTTATTTCTGAGGTGAAAAAATGCCAGGGAAAATAGCTACAGTAAGCAATAAACAGTTGCATTAATCTTCCCTATATAATGCAATCATAATTTCAGCCTGTGATTAGATACAATRAGTGACATAATAAATGATCTTGACTTCAATCACCGACATAAATCAAACTGACATGAAAGGAATGGGAGTTGTAAACCTTAAGCTAATGTCAAATTTCTTATCAGTTTTACACGGACTCCCTGGCAGTTATTCTGTAAGTGACAAATATTTATGAGGATGCTCCCAATGTGGGAGGTGGAGAAGCACATTCAAGATCACTCCTGTAGTTGTCAAAACAAGACGATTGTTCATGTGACACTTAACAAATGAGATTTTGGCTAGTTAAATCAAAATACCTTTTCTGAACATGCTCGAATCGGGTGCCTGACTGTCTGCCAGTCTTTGAAATGAATGTGTTGAGAAGACAGCCTCACTGAAAACTTTTTTGTCTCAATAGAGAGCCCCTGCCTGGGACAGGGTGATAAATTTCTCTTGCTTCACCCGGTTGAAAAGAAKCTCCCAGAGATGAAACAATTCTAGCGTTTGCTCGTGGTTATGCAATATAATCAGAGCACATTGTGTAAACATGTTTACTTATGAAATTAGGCATCAGAAAGAAAAAGAAGAGACCTTAAGAGACATGTCAGCAAGGGTCAGAATGATGGAATGCAAACAACAGCAAGCATTCTGCAGTAGAATTCCTCCTGGGATGTTAGWTGTAGCATGATCTGTGGGAAACCTCTGGTTTCTCCTTTCCAACCACAGCACTCACCTCTCCAGGGTACGTCCATGTCATCTGCACTCTGGTGTTCCAGGCTGCAGTGACAGTGCAGTTAATTGCTAGGCTGTCCCCCTTCAGCAGTTTGACAAGACGTGGGGTGCTCAACTGAACGTCAAAAATTGTGTTGGCTGCATGAGACAAAGAGGGAGAAAAATCAGTGATGCCAGCAGGGCAGGGTGCCTTCTGAAGGCTGGGGAGCAAAGAATGCCACCTACTTTCTCTATGTGTTAGGTATTTGGTGCTGTACGTGTGCCCATCGATGGTCGTCTCGCAGCTCAGGAGTCCGATGAATTTGTAGGTTGCCTTAGGTATTCTGAAGCCTTTCATGCTGTCCCAGATTATTGTCTTGCCATCAGGAATTAGGGTTTCTCGTGGAATCTAGAAGTGCCAAACACACACCATGAAAACARCTCATCCTCATGTCTACTCTCTAATCAAAGTAGCCTAGCAAAAAGGGATGCAGAAAAGAGCACCCAAAAAACTGCCAATCAATGTAAAAAGGATGACATTTAATGATGCRGGTTCTTCAAGTCACATTTTCATCACAAAATAGAGGAAAAGACTGGGTGAAGAATGCAAATGTTGCATTTGTTTCCAAGATTTCATTATTTATAACAGGATGTAATTTATGACACAGTAGATTGACACTATCATTAGCTTCAGCACTTGGGCTGCTATTCTCTTGGCTCCTGACTGGCAGCTACAGTGCTCATCTCCATGAACCTTTGCAATTAAGTATCCTGCTTTCACCACAGAGAAACAAACACACATCTTTCAATGGAGATGACAAATGTACTTAACTTGCTGTCATTCTGTGGCTTTAATAAATTCCTGCCAGGATTCAATTACATGCATGTCATATTTATATTGACTAAAAGACTTAATAAACAATCAAATAAAATATTGCCATGTGGGGTCACATGTTTTCTTTGTCAGCAGTACAAGTTACATTTTACATCATGATCCTTTGCACTTCAAGCCCTATTTTAATAAGGAATCAAGAACACCCTGAGAAAGTAAAGCATGACATAGCCATTGAAGCTCAGACAAAACYTCTCATTTTAAGGTCACGCTTTTTTGTTATACCTTATTGATGGGATAAATACCACCTTTTGGATAGCACAGAGATCAGACATGAGCACAAAGCTTGGAAGTGACTTTGATAACATCAATTTTTAAGGTAAAAATTAGATACTTTAAAAGATGGCACAGAGCAGTGTTTAAATGAATTTTGGTCTTAAGGAAGGATCCCTGGATCAACTAAGCATCTTGCAGCCCATCACTTCCCACTGTGCAGCAGTCTCTCTATGTCCGTGCAGACAGAAAGAATCTCTTTCTTCCCCTTTCAGCACTCTCCCTCCTGAAGCCAAAGGCAGCATGGGTGGCTGTCACAGGCTGGGGGGAGCATTTATATCTGTCTCCTTCACACATTCTACAGCTTCTGTCTAAACCATGGCACCCTTGATGCTGCCTGCTCAACCTCTGCAGAAAGCCAATCTTGAGACCACATTCGCTCATCTTTTGTCATTTCCTCCAAAATAACTGAGTGCATGATGAATGAAACGAACAATAAATAGAGAGCACAAAATGACGTGGTAGAATTCCTTATCAACAGCTGATAAAATGCTGTAATAAGCATGTAAATCACGGAGGAAGTGCGAGTAGCACACACATGAGTAAAGCCCATTGCACTACAGCCTKCTGGCTACCATTCAGCAATATCTTGGTCCCGAGAGCTCTGTTGCCATTCCTGTTCTAAACAACACAAATTTTCAAACCTTGGTGTAGCTAGTTCACAGTTGTGTTTTCAAGAACTTCAACTGGATTTATCATGCTTTGGTGGAAACCAAGCTGTTTCTGAGAGTACTTCTGTATAGGTTTTCATGCAGAAAGTCAAGTCAGAGCCTTCCTAGACTGATATTTCCCAGGGAGTGCATTCACTGCACATTCATTAGTTGATTGATGGATTACTGACTTTATATTAGCCTTACTCCRGGAACAGAAAAGAAAGCAAAACACYCAGGAAAGTCCTGTTTTGCAACATGTGATTTTGTGAGGTGTATGGATATCCAGCAGGCTTACTTGTCCTGGAGGAAAATCTTTGCTTGTACAGTTTACTCATCTGMAACTCCCCAAAAACACTAGAGCKACATCTTTTYTGTATTTTTYTTTTGCAGCTCTGAGACGAAGAAGTTAATCCCAGTCACCCATGAAAGTGTAATGCGACCTAAATTACTCTAAAAAAAACTTCAGAAAACCGAGGTCTCTGACTTGCAAAAGACCACTGTGTCATAGCTGGTTTCTGACCAAATCTCAAGGGGAAAACCCCAAGKTACTGCAACAAGTCCCTTTCAGAGGGCAGAAATACCAGGTCTTTGTCTCAGATGTGAACAGGGGTGGTSGCTGGGTGTTCACCCTGCAGCCTTTTACAGCTCTACTCTCTCTCCCTTCTTGCTTCAGTTTCTTACCCAGCTCTTCTCCACACTGCTCTCTGCCAACCCCGGTGGTTCAGATGACCTGCATCCTGCTCTCAGAGAACCACAGTCATTTTGCTCTGCCCTAAARCAGCTTTCAGGCTACCGAATAGAAACATGGTATCATCATCTTGCTGATGACTGCATGGATGGTGCTGGGGAGGAATCCCAGAATCACACAATAATTTAGGTTGATCTCTGAGCTCCAGAGATCATCTGATCCCATTCCCAGGCTAGCATGGCCAGTGTAATTCAAGGTCTTGTCAAAAATCTGAACATTTGGTCATCACAGAAAGCAATAGAAAACTTATGAAGAAACATCATGCTGGAATACTGAGACTTCCACTGAAGCAGCAGAGGATAAATTCAGAGGACAAAGCTACAATAATAGCTTGCAGATGGGAACCAAAAGCSAGTCAGAGGCATTCAAAGAATCAACTTGTTGCGACAGCAGTGGTAAACATGGGATTTATTGTTTGCATACTTATCTGTGTGAACCATATCGCTGTGGCTCCCAGGGCTCTCTTGGCCTTTTACCTTCTTTGTACTTTGTTTCAAATGAAACTTTTTTTGCTATAGACTGTACCTCCCTCTTAGCTCAATCTTTGCTGACTGTTTTTGSTACCTGGTGGCATTAACACAGCGCTGCCACAAACTGCATATGTATGGGCAAGAGTTACAGTCAAGCTGTGGTTCCCCACATCTCAAAAGGCAGATTGTATTGGAAAGAGACAACTAAAAGCTTATTAAATATCAGAGTTTTGAATGCTTGTCTTTTCTTTCATATTTCCCCTTCCACCAATTTGGTAAAGATGAGGTGTCACTATTAAGAATTCAGATTGCCCACATATGTGACTCACAACATTCCKAGGGTTTTCTCCACTTTTCATTCCTTATACTGAAGCTTATTTACCTCTATTCCCATAAATGTCATTGTTTATATGACAGAGAATCCAAAAGGATATCAAACAGATGGATCAAATCATKGTACCAAAAGATGTTACCTTCTCCATTTAGCAAAAAAAGAGCAAATGAAGAGGTAAGAGAAGTGCACACCTAACTTGCAATAAGGTTTACATTATTTTAAGGATCTTGAATGAGTCTGCCAGAATCGTGTTAACAATAATGATGGTTTCAGTGGCTCTGAATATCTAACTATTAAGCATTATATCAAAACTATCCTTTGATTTCACAGTCCTTCATATGATAAGGAAGAGAAAAGGCCATCAGCTACTGCAGATAAATGTTGTAGCAGGACCCAAAGGCTGAATTTGAAATAGGAATTAAAAGGTTCATTCCCATTTCCCAGTCTATATTTTATTAACTTCTTAATTTTTTTAACCCCCCCCCCCACACTATGTTGTATGCAATTGCCATGCTATAAAATGCAATTTGCACAGATGTTCAGCCTCAAAATGAAAGCAACACAAAAAGGTTTGTCTAAGGCAAAGATGCAGTTTGACTAAAAAAATAATTTGTAGTGTTGAAGATGGATAAAAAKACTTTCCCACATTGGTCCACTAGAACTAAGATGTAGGACTGCAAAGGAGCAATGCTGGAGGCAGTGCTCATGCAACTGTAGGGTCCTTCCAGTAGAGAGAGTTTATTAAAAATATTTCATATTTTTAATTTGTGGCAATATGGAATGCAGAACCTAAGGACACTAGAGCTGGGATTTGCTTTCCAGCTCCAGAAGACTGCATTATGGGGACACTAACTTCTTCATCACTGGTGGGAAGCACAAAAAAGCTCTTCCCATTTCTCCAGCAGTGGTGTGCCTGCAGCTGTGGGATGCATTTAACACATCTCTTAGTTGCTATGTGAGTAAAACTTTGCTGGAATCTTCATATAARGGTGCCATAGAAGATAAATAGAGTAAGATATGATGTAATACATTGTAGTTCACAAGCTTCAGGAAATTCTAGGATTAATTAGGGAACACATTTATTTTTCCTGGAATGCAAAACATGAATGCAACCAATCCTTTCATTCAAGACTTGGTTCCACCTCCTCTTTCTCCTTCTGAGAGTATTACATCTGGTTTTGATGGTGTAAAGATRTGACTTAGACCAGAAGCCCAAGCTAAAGGCAAGTTGATACGAAAAAAAGAGAGAGTAGCTATGTCTCACTCTTCTCCAAATGAGGAGGAAAAAAGTTTTTAATATTGTTTGATGAGAGAAAATGTGGAATTTTCTCAGCTAAAAGTGTAATATGCTGAGATTTTAGATGTAACTCTACGGCGCAAAAATAAGTTCCCACTTCACAACAACCTTCCATGGGAAGGTTTCTTTTGACTCTATTGCCACACAATCTTGTACATTTTCTTTCAGGAGAACTCTGTGTGTGTTTGTGTGTGTGTGTGTGTGTGTGTAACTACACACCTGGGTCAGATCGTTTTCTTTTCTTTGCATTTCATTCTGTTTCATGGGATTCAGCATGATGAAAACCAAGCAGCAAAATCAGTACATTGGAAAAGCAGCACTTGATAGCATTGGTAAAATCTGTGGCTGGTKTGAAAGTCAAAGAAGAATCAAAGACTTGTGTTGTACTAGGTAAGTATCTTACAGTGATATTGTTTGTCAATTATTAAGAGTTCAGATTGTCCAGATATGTGACATCATTGTGCATATATTGCATTATTATTTTTATCCTATGAACAGACAAACCTCTTTTCCTTTTAACAGTGTTGGGCTTTCATTGCCACTACGTAAATAACTCCCTTTATTTAGAAAAAAACTTCATTGCTATCTCTACCTAATTTTTAAGCAAAAAAGGGTAACTTTCAAAAAAAGCTTCATTCTCTGCTTTGATCCCAGGTACTTTATCCCATGCATATGATTCAGTTAGCTGTTCATGTTACTCTTAAGGCACCTAGGGACAAATGTTTTTCCCAAAACATGGTGGTTTTTTTTTCTACAACTAGTCCCACGACACCTATTTCTGCAGCTTCCCTGCGAAGTTTCCCCACAAAGAAAAGCAATCCCCTGTCTAAGTGCACTCATTTGTGAAAGGAAGCAGCAAAGTCTCTGGTGGGAGTGAGGTAGGGCAAAGGCTTGCAGAGATCCTTGTACAGCAACGGCAAGTCTCCAGGGACTCACTGGCTGTTCCAGAGTACAGGAGAGGAAAAAGGAGGAAGGGCAGGGGAAGAGGTGGGAGGAGATCTCTACTCCTAACAAGAAATTCCTTCCTGGGCTTAAGAAACCTTTGCCAGTGATGATTTAATAAAGTAGTATGGAAATTTTAAGTTTCTTCAGAAAATTCCCACCCTGTGTAGGAGATTTGATGAAGCCCTTCTGTGAGACACAAGATGAACCCTCCAGGGTTGAAATATTTCTGAATATTCTGACACTGACATCCAGAAACATTGCATAAGAAATATTAAATTGTTAAAGTATTTCAGAAGCATTACAATAGCTGTAAACAAGCAAACAAAAACACCATCCACAGTAACACTTTCAGAGCATGCTTRTATAGAGGTACCTTTTTTAAAGTAACAGCAATGTTTGGTGCTGTGACTCTGCATGGAATGATCATTTCTCTTCCTACAGCCATGTTTATTATTTTAGGTATATCACTGTGCATCTCTACAAATGGATTGCTTGTATCTGCAAGGAAAGAAAAATAAAGGTTAATAACTGAAACCTTAAGACAGTGTATGTGAATCGTAACAGCACATACAGCCTTAGAAAACAGACTAGTCCTGTCCATAATGAAAGCTAAACAAACCTCTAAAATAAATTTTCTGTTTACTTTTGTCTAAACGTTCATCAAACTATTATTAAATATTTGAAAATATATTCTTAATTCAATACCAATATCAGTACTTTGAAATCTTCTTCCAATTTCAGGACAGTTGAAGTCCATTTTTTCCATTACAGCAACATCATTACTGCTGAGATATGTGCTTCTTATTTCAAGCCATTTCTATTTTATTATCATCAGGAAAAGCAATTACAYGGGAAGTGAGCTGAAATCTGCCTTTCAGGAACCCCCTACAAAGTATATGTTCCTGCTGTCGGCAAGGAAATTGTTAGGAAAAATTCAGGAGAAAGAATCCACCATGATTATCCAGGCATGTTTTCAACTCTGAGAATACAGACTAGAGGGAGTTAATTATTCTCCTCCTTCCCACTGTCACAATACCTATGTGTCTCTTTTTTATGTGACAAGGGAGATGAAAATGCCAGGAAAACATTAATTCCTCTTGCCTCAATAACTAAAGCTTGGCAGAGTAATTGACCATCGCTTGAACAATCCCTTTAACAAAGGGCATTGTCATAAATAGCTTGCACTGGGAACAGGGAACATTGCTGCTGCTATTGTTTGGACCACTTAACAAAGAGGAGCTCAAACCACAGACTCTGGCTCCAAATCTTCTTTGCAGGTGTTCAGATATGAAGTTTCAGTTTGACTCACATCTCAGACAACCTCCAAATTCAGATAAGGTTTGGTTTTTAACTCCTAAAATACGCAGAACATTCAGATCTTAATTATGGGCTTATCTACAGCTCTAATGTTTTTTCAGGCAAATCCCATTATTTTCACTCAGTCAAAAATCTTAGAAATAACAATGGAAACCTTTCTTGGATAAGAAATTAGTAAAGCTAGCAAGAACCTATCCCTTATAAAACCTTGAACTGCAATACTTGATTTAAGTGTTCTGGCCCCAAACTTCTGCATGTTGACCTATGTTCACTCAAGTAGTTCTTCAAGTAAGTTACTTTTGCTTGTCTTTCAAAAGTATGATGTGCACTTCCCAGTGTCATCCAACTGTCCTGCCCTTAGGATCCTCTTTTCTTATATGCAATAATATTTTTGTTTGAGACATCAAACAGGAAGAGAAACAAATTCTTGTCTAATTTATACTGTAAGAGTCCTAAAGCAGAGGATCTCAAAGGTACTACAGGATAYAGAAGAAAGTTTACCTAAAGTGGTTTCATGAAACTGTTACACAAACTTTCTGAAATGAAAGCCACGAAATGTTATTTAATGATAGTTGTTAAATGTCCAGAGATAGCAAAAGGAACTTATGAGTAATAGAGGATGCATATGTAATAAAAAATGCCCTGAGGACTTGTTAGGCTGACGTTTCCTCTGCAGTACGATTCAAGGAAAGACCAAGAATGAACCTGTTTGCAGCATGGGGAAAAGAACATTTTTTTGTTTCAGGRGCTGCAGCCACAGAAGAGGTCACCTGCCCCTTAACATCACCAGACAAACCGATTTACTGCTCCCCAAAGACTCATTTGTCTTTGTCACAAAATTAAGAGCTCCTGCCTGAAACCAGAAAGCTTTGCAAAGTGGTTTCCTGTACCCTAATCTCCAGATCATTGTAAGTGTGAGGAAGAGCCGTTCTGGGGACTGCCGGTGCTGTCTGCAGGCAGAGTGTCCCTACTGACTGATGCCAATATCAAGGCAGTGGGGGTTGTGCAGCTCAGACCACGCAGGATTCCAGCRAGGGACAGGAAACCAGCATGAAACACCATGTTTGGCTTTTCTTTCTTCTTCTCCAGTGGAAATGCACGTCCACGCSTGGAGAAGCCAACAAAGTGCTGTCTAAAAGCAGATTAAGCGCTCTGGTTGCCCTCAGTGGGCTGCAAGGCTCGGTCACAGCCTCTCCTGGTCCACTCCCTGCCGTGTSCACCAAGGCGTCGCCGTGCCCCCGYTATTCGCGTGCAGAGCTCCCATTGACATCACCGGGGACTTCCGCCGTGGGCCAGAGGGCAATCGATGGCCCTGAGTGCTCCAAATGTCTTCCTGCTTTTGATTAAAAGGAATACGCATCATGTTTCCTAGCACAGTTTTGTTTTCATAACGAGCGTGGAGGCCTTTCCTGATTCCCTTTGATTTTATTCTCCTTCCATCTTAAAGGCCATAACGGGATACTCTCAATGACTTGAAATCAGAATCTGGTGTGGGCTTTACCAGCTTGGATCAGGCAAAGCTGAACATGCAGCTGTGCCAGGGCAGGTTATGCCACATTGGCAGGGTTTGCCAACAACGTGGAATTCTTCTGTCCCRTGAACAATAGCTCTCCTTGATTTTTTTTTTCTCTTTCCTTCCCATGACAGCCTCAGCTATTGCCACTAGTTCCCACTACATTACTTCTCAATTTCTTCCTAAGGAAAGGTAAATGCCATCCTTGGTGCACACAGCTGGCTGGCAGCACATCTGAGATRACCTAATCTCCCTCCATCAGTCTTTTGGGCCAACTCCACTCCATTCTGTATTCAGAAAGCTCTAGATCTAAAAGGAGTATCACAGGCTGGCCTATCTTGGAGACCACGTCCAGGTTACACATTCAGCTTTATTGGGATTTGAAATGGAAGATCTAGGGATTGACCTTGCTTTTATGAATTATTGATTCGGGTTGTTGTTGTTTAGTTTTTTGTTTGTTTTGGTTTTCTTTTATTCAGAGCTGCCTGTGAGCAGGYCAGTAGCAAAATGAAAGCTGGACAGCCAGAATATTTACTTAYGTTAAAGGTTACTTTGAGAGACAGCTTAGTGTATTTTTAAATTGTGCCTGGAATGAATGACTGTGTGATGGGTTGACTGTGTTCCTTACAGTATCTCTTAGTCACAATCAACATGAAACCACAAAGGACATTCATAAAATCACAAAATCCATGAAGGTCGTTTGCTATATGATTAAAGAGCATAAATAGCAGCTTTTACTAAGCTGGTTGGCAGCCAGATAAAAACTTGATAAGAGACTTAACAGAAGCAATATTATGTCTGGTATCAATAACCTGTCTAGGCTATTTATGGGGTTTGCACAAACAACTAAATTAGCCAACACTGAAATGCCAAATTCAGAAAAGATGGAGAGGGTTTTTATTTCCATGAGCTTCAGCTACTGTTTTAGGGTTTGTTTTGTTTTCAGTAATCTGAGCTATGTAAGTCAGAGGATTTACACATACATTTGCAAGACGAAAAGTCTCTGCAGGAAAATCTAAGCTCCTTGAAATCTCTGAAACCTTATTCTCTGAAGTTCTTCTGAAATACCTACTTACACCTGGTTCATCATTAAGATTCTTTTCAGGCTAAAAGAGGTAAAATATTTTCATCACATTCACGTAAAACCGTTTTCCCTCATATGCATGGAAAGGAGCACAGTCTTTAGTAAAGAACAGACATGCAGACTTCATTGAAGTTCATGGTCCAATTGCCACATTCCCCTTCCATTGTGGGGATTAGACCTATTTATCCCAGATAAATTATTGGGGCTGTTCAGAAGAAATTCCAAAAGAATCTTGCACATCAGGAGTCATTCCAACCTCACTTGAACATCTACAATACAGACATTTCTCACTGAGMTAGGAGCCAAACCATTAGTATTGTCCCTGGTGAGAACAGGGGAATTTTGCAATGAGCCTCATCTGAACTGTTTTATACATCTGCTTTACTGTGAGATGAATCATGTCCTAGGAAATGTATCTGTTGAACCAGTTTATATGCCTAATTTCCTTAAAGAAAAWAAATCTCACTTTGTATGTCTTACTCTGGAAGGTTGTTCCACCATTTTTGTTTTTCTTTTTTTAACCTGGACTTTTGTAATTATCAAATTATATCTAGAGCACATTCAGATACAAARGATTCTAGTATAACTGTGCTACAATTTTTAAGCAAGAATGGTTTGTTTTCCTTTGTTTTCCTGCTATCATCAACATAGAACCATGACACAAATAGAAAACAGTTAAAATTCTTCAGGAAARATAATCATATTAGCCAGGAAATCCATGCTAAAGCAATTACTATGTTCAGCAAGCAATCCCTAGAAAGGCTAATGGATATTAGGAACACTCTTTCAGGTGTATCCCTCCATTATGATGGTTCATCCTGGAAAGGTATTTGTTTCAGGAGGAGCTGTGAGCCTTGCTGAGGGAGGAGGGCTGTGGAGGGGTTAGTGTGCAGTGTTTGATGCTGCCAAGGTRTCCACACATGTTCCTCTCCAGGCGGTGTCCTGTGGTACAAAGTCTGTGCACATGCAATGACAAAAGCGTCGCAATTACAGGCCATTGACGTCAGCAAGTCCTAGAGGTCTCTGTTTTGTAACAGGAACCTCATAGAAACTAAAAATGTGTCCGCATATTTGATACAGCTGCAACATAGTTTAATTCCAATGAGTTTCCTCTTCATAACAGAAGCGCTATCATAGTATTGACTAGGATGGTGCAAGCCAAAACCATACTGCTAAAATTGTGCCAAAAGCAAAGACAAAAAAAGGCACAGGGGAGGAAGAGTTTCCCAGGTCATAGCAGGTTCTTTTATCAGCACATTATTTGTGAATAAGGAGAAAAAGGAAAAACAAGAAAAATCTCCCTTTCTGTTAGCTCTCAGGGTGTTTTGTCTCACTGCTTTTTTTTTTTTTTTTTTTTTTTTTTTTTTTTTTACCTGGATGATTGGATGATTGTGACTTTGATACTTCTAAACTAAAGAGATCCTTTTGGAGAACTCTTTGGATTCCCTCCACGTTCTGCAACAACGGTAGCTTTAGGATTGCAGGAGTCAATCCATTCAAGCTAAATCTTAAATACATGTCAGTTCTGGGGCTGGATCCATCTATCTGTCAGCAGGARGACCTCCCAGGGAGATGCCCGGGAAGTCCTAATATGCTCTGAACCTGCACCATACAACTTCAGAGTTTGAAAACAAGCTCAGAATCCCAGATGTTTTGGCATTTCAAAAGCTTGCATTTTGAACAATTCCCTAATGTCAAAGCCCTTCATCTTGGACTGCCAAGCCCAAGACACACATCAAGCCAAACACATACAATTAGTGGGCATGTTTGACATTCTATGCATTGGTGAGCACAAGTACTCTTTGGACCTGTACCTTTAATTACCCAGCTCTGATTTGTCTCATCTGACTTAAATTATCTCAAAGAGAGAAATTTGTTCTGAACTTGTTCTCCAGATTTCTTGAAAAGTCAGTGATGAGAAGTATGTATCAGAAGCTCTTTTTGAGAAAGAGAGAATAGAATAGACAACTGACTAAGCTTAGTCATCTCATTCTGCAAGGAAAAGTAAGTGACCAGAAGACATGCAGAGCAGGATCATGAGAAAAGACAAGGAGAGGGAGAACATTGACTAAGAAATGGGCTACTGCCCTAAAGCCAAATTTTACTTGGAGAAGAATTCTGTTCTCTGTAGCAGCAGAATTAAGATTTTACTCCTATACATTACTAGCTGAAACCTGTCTTCATCCCAGAAAATAGCAACACTTCAACTTGAATCACAGTTTGCTTAAATTCATGCAAAAATCTAACCTTGCCATATCAACGTAATTGAACTCACAGGATTTTCCTCTGTTGTACCATGGGAGCATTTGTTCAAAGGCAAGAAATTATGAGAGTAGAGAATTAAGAGAACTACACATTTTTGAAGGGAGTGAGTGAGTTCCAGCAATGGAAAAGTGCCTTGGAGATATTGGGACAAAGGAGAAAGAAAAGCCCATAGTACTCTCCCTAGGGAAATTTACATGGGTTTCAGAACAGCCTGCTGATAATTTGGTGTTTCTTCAATGCCTTTATTCCATCATTATCTCTTTTCAAGCAGAAAATTYCCCGTGCCTCACTGCAATGTATGCAGTGAACACTAATTGTTCTTTTCTTTTTACTAGTAGGATGCAGTTGCCTTACAAAACAAAACTCTGAGCAGTTTTCTGTCTGACACAGAAATACATACTTGATACAGAGGCTTTGCTTCAATTCAGATTTTTCCCATGGCTTGTGGAGTAAGTCAGGCCATTGGTTTTCTTGAGGCAAAGTTGAAGACTCTTAAGAGAATTAATTTCCCTTGCTTAATGTCTCAATTCCTGAGCTGTGTGGGGTCAAGAGTTGCCAAGATGCTCTGTGCACTCGCTCCCCTCTGCAACTCAGTAGTGACCTCTCCAGCTGAAAGCAGGGTGGTGTCAGGACTAGCTCCTCCAAGGCAAGTCACCAGCCTGCCTCTTCTCCATCCCCAAAAGCAGGACTTCAGAAATGCTTCAAGTCATCCTGGGGCCTGTAGGACTCACACTCTCCTTTTCATCACCTTGCGTTTCGTTTTTGTCGATTGTGCTTTTTTTCTCATGTAGCATGCACTCATTACTGAACTAAAGGACTTACTGGGTTTATTGTAGCTTGGTCTTTGGGCTCTTCTTTTTTTTTTTTTTTTTTTTTTTTTTTTTTTTTTTTTTTTTTTTAAATCCAGTTCATATTCAGTATCACTCCAATTACGGAAATGAATAACATTTTTAAAACAATAAGTGATGACTTCCTGTACAAACAATATCAACTTTCCTGATTCGGATTCTGTGTTTGTAAATAGCAACTATTTGTTCTCATCTGCAGCATGCTAAGACATGGGAAACAGGCACCTCAGTGATCCACATGGAGCTAATATGGGAAGTGGACTGACACAATGTCCTGCCACAGGAAATAATACAAAACTAGGAGGGACCCAAATTTMACAAATGTTTATTTCCTAAACACCCACAAATTAATGCAAAGTAAAAGTAAACTAAGGAAAGATAGTCTTTGCAGAGAATTTTGTAACACCCATCTCAACCTCACTTGAGCTTGAATTTCATGCATGTTCACAGAAACAGCGACTTGTATTAAGAGACAGATTGAAAAGAGAAAATGAGACAGCACAGAGAGAGAAAATACTTCTAATKCTACACTTACCAGAAAGGGTGAGTTTTGGTACTCAGTATCTTGTTTCTTTCCAACTTACTCAACTGAAACTGTAAATTTTTGGAGGACTAATATACCTTTCTCACTGGCAGAGTGACAGTTTCACCAGGCATTAAATGAGCAGTTGCCTTGCAGGTCTCTTTGTTATCTGTGATTTTTCTCTAACTCTCAGGTGTGCTTCCTGGGACACAAGTAACACTTAAATGCTAAGAAACTGGTTTTCGATCAAAATGATTGTCACATTCAGAAAATCAACATGCCAAAGAGGTCTAAGGATGCTACAGATTTGCACCTTAAATATTTCACTATTTTTTTGGCAAGTAAGGTGGAAGAGTTATAAAATACAGCCATCTCTGCAACAGTGACATCAAGATTTATGAATGAATGTCGTTGAAAAAACAACAAAACCAGGACACTTAGGCAGCCTTCTTTAACTGATTAGAGGGGGTGGAAGGTGTGGGGGTAGCAGGGGACTGTCCTAAAACTATTTCTGCAATTATACATTTCTCTTCCATCACCATGTCAATTCTGCAGATGACCTCGGCTCRCAATCACCTAATTGAAGGTCCCTTTCAGATGCAGGCAAGCCACACACAACTTGGGAAGCAGTTGAAGAGTTTAAAAGACTGGTTGCGTCTTTCATTAGTAAAAATTTAGGATCCAGGAAAATTAACTCTTCAAACAGGTAAGAGGTCACGAGAATGCAAAGGCATCTCTTGTATGGTAAAGTCAGTTGAGCAGAGAGGTCCTTCTCATGTGCTGAATGGAGATCATTGCAGGCAGGTCTCAGACAGGGATGACACCCAAGGTGGGATGTTCAAGAAGGTCCCATGATGGGAAACTTTTAAAAGGCATCCAAGGAAATTGTACATTTTCCCAGGCTGCAGGCTGTTGGTCAMTAAATGAATATTCTATTTTGGCTATTCTTCCATGGATGTTTCTGTTGTTGGATGTACAGAGAAATATATAGAAAGAGCTGGGTGGCAAAAACACTCTGCAGCATATTTTAAAATGAAGGAAAGCAGGATGAACAGTATGAAATAGCCAATAAGTGTTCAATAAAGCAGCACACCATAATGGGGAGAGCTATCTTTTTTTCTATCAGTGCAGTGAGGGGTCCACTTCATTCTGCTTTTTCACAGAGCCAGTCTCACTCTTCTTGTCACAAAATGAAAACAAAAGCTAATTCACTCTGATGTGAATTCATTAGATGTAGCAGTCCCACAATTTGGAAAACCTCCAATTGCACGTTTTCTGTAATATAGGCTTTGAAAATCTGTGAATCCTGAAATACTACAGTAACCTATTAATTTTACTCTGTAAAAATAAGAAAAAACTAAACTATTAATTAAATCCCTGAAGTGTCTATAAATTGTTCTTTTATTGTTGTATCTATTGAATTCAACTCTTCTCAGAAGTGTCTGATTAACACCCTGGAAGGAAACAGGATCAGAAAGAAATTTCTTTTATAGTCTAACTGACCTAATTCCAGCACTTCCCATACATTACACAATAYTTGTTTGCTGAACTAAACTCTGTGTTTAATTTGATTCCCTTTATTCTAGATTTTTTCAATCTGTGTGCCATGGATTGCAGAGGATATTTTTGAATATGACTTCACATGCAAACGGTAATTTTTCTGCAGCATGAAGTGATTTGGTGGTCTGGACAGACAGCTTTAGCATCCTTCAGCTGCCTAGAAATCACTTCAAATTCAGTCAAGTAGGATATGGTTTCTGATACCCATTTCACATTTGCTTGTAGTCCACTTCCATCTGGACTCCTGTTTACTCTAGGCAAATGGTTGGATAGGGTCTTTTCCTTGCTTCAATTTTTTTTTCCTAACAAACAAAAGACTACCATTTGTATTTGCAAGTTCTGAGAAAATAGATTTTGTACAATAATTGTCAATTAACATTTTGCAAGGCTGCAAATGTCATTCAAAACTCAACCACAGATGAAGTGCCTTACTTACCCACTGCTGTATTGAAGAGTACCAAGAAGTGTTAAAAAAAACTTAATCTTACCGTTAATGAATACATAGACTGTAGTTTCCTTCTTCTTTTTTGCGGGACTTGTTGGGTATTTGCAGCTATAATTTCCAGTGTCACTTGCTTGAGTTCTGCTCAAGGTCAGAGTACTGCAGGATTGCTTCCCATTCCTTCCACAGGCATATTTAATTACTTTCAGCCTTTTGCTATCCTTGCTAAGAGTTTCAGGCAAAGACCATGAATGAACCACTTCCCCCCTGCAAATATAGATAAGGAAGCAGAAACAATTATGCTAGGCTGCAATTATATAGCTCCAGTTCCCAAGCTTTCTTTTTTATTATATCAGGCTATTTATGGGGCTCTCTTTTATCTTGTTTTCCAAAAACAACAACAGAAACAACAAAGAACTGTTAAACAATTGCCATTGAAGTTCACTCCCCACCTTTCCCCACAACATAAGGTTTAATTTTTTTTTTCTAATTTCAGTTACAAAGAAAGAAGAAAGTGTCAGGTATATGAACTCCCTGCCAATTATCAGAATCCAACTCAGTTGGTTACCTGCAGGTGAGATTTAAAGTCTGGCCGGCTTGAACAACATGCTGTATGCCATTTATACTCAGCTCAGGGACTTTTAGTTTTGATCCTGAACTAGATCCTAGAAAAACAAAGAAAAAACCAAAACATTAACAAAGACAAATAATTCTGCTTTCAGTCCACTCACACTTATGATGTTATCCTGGAAAGGAAAAGAAAAGAGAACTGYGTGTCTTTCTCACCACACACACTCTCTTCCTTTGAGCAAAGTCCTGTTGTCGTGACTCAGGGCTCAAATAACCTTCTAGCAGTGTTACTCAGGACAGAAAACAGAATTGAAAGCTATCAGTCAATGACTTTTCTCTCTAATTTTTCAGTGAACATACCCTGAAGAAAGTTCAGGTCTTGTGGCTACTCATCTAACCAAGGAAGTGTGCTCCAAGCACCACCGGCTGCATTTCCTTAGGAAACACCATCACGGCAACCCTTTCAATGGGAAGGGCAAAAGTCAGCCACTTTCACAGCAAGAGACACATACTGACTTCTAAGATATCCCATTCAAACACTTGCAAGGCTGGAACTGATGYAGAAGGAGCACAAGGGGATTAAGGATCTTCCCTTCCTGATTGAAGGTCCCTTCCTGATTGAAGGCTGTTACCTGTGGTTCTTTGCCAGCTGCAGGTTTCCTGTTGGTGAAGTGGTGTCAAAAGGCAGAGCTTTACAGTAAATTTTGAGAACAAGATCAAGACATGGAAGACCATAAAAAAGCCCCATGGTCAGAAAACCAGAAGAATACAAAATCTTCCCTCTCATCAAGTAAGGAGGTGCTGGCCAGAAAGACATCATGTTTTATCTGTGTCCTGTAATAGGTTATGACCACAAAAGCTTTCGTRGCAAGTGGAGAAAAGAGCATGCCTTAGAGAAGAAACAGTGCTTGATCCATCTCATTGCACCTTACAGCAAAGTATTCCAGAAGCTGGGAATTTCACATAAAAATATTCTGAAACAGTTAAAAGTTGAAACCCAATTTTAGTCTAATCTGGACTCAAGTATAATTTGTAAAGATTTCAGCATTGAGAGAGAGTGACAGCAACAGCCCCAAACCCCTTTACTCCAAGAGGAAGTATGACTTTGTCAACATATGAGAGAAGCAACATCTCATAGCCAAGGGTAACACAGATCTTTCTGCTAGAACTCAGTCAAGAACAGCTTGAGTTTAGCTATTTTAAGTCCTTCCAAGAGATCCCTGCCACAGCCAAGTATGAACAGTSGTATGCACCAAACATAGTAGAAAAACGTGAACCTTATTTGGAGGCTAYGTATCGCCATCAAAAACGCCTTCCTCTTTTGTTTTGACTAGAGTAGGAACTTTTGTACACYGGTTCCTGCTGAGATTGGTGACTAAAATTTGGTTGTATAAGCACTTCAAAGTCACTGGCTGCTCCAAATTCAGCAGTGTTCCTTTTAGCCCTCTATACCTTATTTTAAGCTGTGGCTTCAGTTTTCCCATGCATTCTRTCATCTGTGCCTATTCAAAACAAGATTTAAAGGACACACTTGAACATAGATATAAACTAAAATATAGCTCACTTGCACAAACTGCAAGCAAGGGCAGAAAAAAAATTCACCATAGATTTAAATGGTGAGACTGTTCACGTACATAGACTTGCCCTGAGATTTGTCTATAGACAACCATATTTCTAACTGGAAATTAATCTATTCTGTCAGCTGTTAAGAAGGGAGAAAAATGATGCAGCAGATCTTTGAAGAAGCAATTTGTTATGTGATCTATTGCAAACATACACTTTTCTCACCTGCCCTTTATGGAACTCAACCCTGAAGTGCTGGTTTTCCCAAAGTGCACACTGCTTTTATGGGATAGCCTCCCACAGATGCTTACAATCTATGAGCCTTCTCATCCACCATTCTGAGCAATGCCCCTGAGACTAATCACTGAGAAATTGAGATGTTACAACAGCCTAGGCAGCTTCTTGGAGAGCAACCCAGGCACTCTGGTCGAGAGAGTTTGTCAGCATCCTCCAACTAAACAATCTGATGGTTTTGTGAAACTCCCACATTCCCTCATTTCATCTGCATTCCTCTTGTCATCCCAGAATTGAAGGGTCAGATGCTCTCCAAAGAAGGCAGTGTTTATGTCCAGCTTTATGAACCTTGATTCTTACTTCATGGGGAAATGTGACCTCAAGCTTCCCTGAGCTGCTCCTTATTTGAGGCTCTGGAAAAGCTGAAGGCGTGCAACAGTATTTGTAAGCATTTCAATATGTATTAAAAAAACACCAGTATGGTCTGCMAGAGGAAACCATCGGGATCAAAGCCCAGTTGCTAGAGCTGCAACACTCAACCTGGTTGCTAGAAAGCAATGTGTAGGCTGCTTCCTGCGTGAAACCGGTTAGAAAGTGGAAAAATCCATGTGAATGACAGATGTTGACAGCAAGTCAGGACAGCAAGTGTGGGTTGCCTGGTCATGCCCACGGTGCTGAGCGCTTGGCTTTGCTTGTCACTGGCACTGGCACCATGGCCAGGAGCAAAACCAGTCATGCAGCCCAGTGCCCATGTCTGAGCTATGCCAAGATCAGGACACCAGCCCTGGTAGTGTGGGCTGCTGTGGTTTTCAAAGTCTACCAAAGCTGATGAGCAAGAAACCATCATAAGTGCCACAAGATTTTTCTCTTCATAGCTTTACAGTGATATAAACAAATATGTGAAAACCTTAAGATTTATCTTAAATGAAGCATACAAAACAAGGCAGCCTGGAAGCCTGAATGTCAGATCTGCCTTGGAATTATTAAAATCAAAGAAAAAAAAAMCAAAACTACCTACCTTTTCACCCCATCTTGTTGGCAAGAAAGAAACCCAAATATACTGGATACATGAACAAGCTTTTGCTCTTTTACACATTTTACATCTATCTAAAAGACTGCATAGTATTTATAAATATTATGTGTGGGATCTTAAGGAGTGCTCRGTATTTGTCTAACTCTGCTTCCATTGACACAAGCCAGTATTTCATCATTGGTTTCAAATACATTTTAGACACTTAACTCCAGTAGTTAATCATATTAACATTCAAGACTTAATTTCAGTGTATTTGTCAAGACATACAAGCTTGGTTATGCATTCATTTATTTAGTTTTCACTGACAAAAAGTCTTATTTCAAGCCAATATTGTTGCTTTTACAAGTATGGGATACWATGGTTTAGCCAGCAAGATGCTGTGTCTTGAAGAAAAATAGCTTTATTTGACATCCTATCTATTCATGGGTCATTAGCTTCCTTAYGTTTTTAAACACCTCAAAACTGATGTGGGGTACAAATGCAATAGASTTTGACATGTTTACTGGGAAAGAAAAAGGAAGGAGAATAGCAGGGAAATTCTACTGTCAATATTTAGAAGCAGATTATGCTTTCTRTGTACCTTCTGTAGGTATTTTACTTGACACTGTCTTTTCTGAAGGGTCRTGGCTCAACAGGACACATTCACTTATCATTGTGCCTGTCACCAAGCGACCATGAGCAGCCTACCCTCACACTGACCTACATCGAGGGTTGCAACTCCTTTTCATGTGACAACAAGAGAACTAATTAATCCTGATAACTGAGGAATCTCCTCCCATGGGGAAAGGGGTGATTTTTTTTGGATGTATTTTATTTGTTGTGGAAGACTCATTTGATACACATGGAAAGTSAGTCAACAGGGTTGCTTAATTAATGAGCAAACATTAATTTAGATTGCAAAAGTTAGCCCCTCTAAGTAAAGTAAGGGAAGGACAATTTTTTTATGAAAGCAGACAGCAATCTGTAATTTGCAAGGTTAAAAAAAAAAAATCTTTCTTCAATTGTCTTCTGCCCTGCAAAGAAGATCTGATCCTCTTCCAAATTAAGTAAATAATATTTTTAATTACCTGTTAACCAAAAAAACCCACTGATCACAAGTCATGACAAAAAGATAAAATAAATTAAGATGAATGTATTTTTCCAATATTATGTGAGTCCTATTCTACAGACAAATGAATAACCATGCACCCATGATGAATTTCCACTAAAAATTGATTTCTGCTAAATTTTGATTTCTCTTAAAARTTATAGGTTTTCTGAACTCAAAATTGGGACCATAATTTGGGTTATTATTCCCCTTCAGATTTTCCCAGTTTTTACYTTACAAATTTCTTTTCACACACTGAAAATTTCTGCTACCTTTGACTAAAGAAAGCAAACCTGAAAGATTAGCTTTAAGACTTAGTTTTAAAATAATTACAATATTAGTAGCTACTATAAATTTCCTTGAAGTTAACAGGTTTGATGACTTTCTAATATCTTTTYCATAATTTGTGGCTGTGACTGTCTTCCAGCCACTCCAGTTATCCTCAACATGTTGACTAATCTTTTTTTCACCTGCACAATGAGAGGTTAAGGAGAATGATCAGTTTATCTTTGCAGCTTCAATGTGTACAAAGAATCTGACCTCCTGGGTTTAAAGTGCCATCTGTGGGAAATAAAGTTTCTGTCATGAAGTAATTGTTCCAGCCACTGTTGGATTTGCACATGTTTTACCACTTGTTAAATATAACCRAGCCTTTGAGGGTTTTACCCATCATTTCCTCCTGATTCAAACAATCAGCAGAAATGTATTYTGTAGAGGACACTCCTGCACTAGAAAGAGAGTGCAGGTGATTTCTTATCAGGGTCTTCACCTCTCTTTGCTGCTTAAAACATCRGTCATACAGTTCAAATACAGCCCAGGGCTTTGCTCTTGCTTATGAGCACTTCCTTATGGTCATTCCACCAAAGGGAATGGGAATGTGCAACGTGTGCAACTAATAAACACTTGCAGAATCCAGACAGAATGTGCAGGAAAATGGCAATATCCAGTGGGTTGACCTTCAGTGCGTCTCCAGGGAAAATGAGAAGATTCTGATCTTCAGCAGTACCCTAATCAGAACATGGCCACTAGCTCACCTCATATGGAGTATAAGGCTTTACTCCATTTTGTAAGGAAACCTAGGATATCAGTAGTTTTCTTTATTTCAGAGCTGTGCTTGACAAGCTATTATATTACCATCTCTTTGAAAGGTATTTTTGTATTACTATCTCTTTGAAAGA